TTCTTTCCTTGATTTTTTTCTATTCGAATTTAAACATTTTACTTCAAACAGCTAAACATTCCTTAAACACATCAAACAAGTAAATGCAAAAACTTGAATTCCTTATCATATCGAATCTTACGAACAACTCTGCCATTTCGGGGAACCTGAACCGCTTTAAGCATTATCGGAAAGTATTGGAGCATTCTGGAATTCGTGTTATTGAAAATTGATCTAAAGTTGGGATTGTTCCTTTATTCAGATGTCTCCTCATACTGGCGATTCTGCTTCCTTTTATAGCATCTCCTCAGCATATCCACGATTATGCTCTAGATCTGATATGGTGATAAGGAAGTGATCACGCCAAATATGTAGCGTTGAATAGTTGGAGAATAGAGTTTATGACTATTTGTGTCATTCTAGATATGATCTAGTATTGTTGGATTTGAGGTCATGCAGTACAACCTCTGCTGCCGCGACACTCCAGCCCATTGATTGAAATGACTATATTAGAGGCTGAAATTTAATTATTATTGGATTTCGAAAGTTTATCAACGTTATTTCCGGGTTCTAAAGTGTGGTCTCAACTCTCTGCCCGTATTGAACTCGAACATCCGAATCGATTCTTCTAGAACTTTTGAAAAACCATTTGGGCTTAACCGTCTTCCATAAAGCCATCACATTCCTCCTATTACATCCAAGATATGTGATTTGAGTGATTGTTGGCATCAGCAAAGCGTCGAAAATTTTTGAACATTCAATTGCTGCAGAAATTCGAAGAAACGGTTTATCTTCATTGTCTAACACTCCATACAAGGCATAGAATAGAAAAAACTGAAATTCAAGTATAAAAAAAAGGAAATTCTGATAAATTTGTACCATTTGCTTTGCGACAACAACTACTAATTGCCAAGCAACAAATCTTTGGGGTTTTTTTGATTTTTGCAGATGCCAAATTAGTCAGTTTACTTATACTAATTACTATTGGGATGTATAATAAAGCAGAGGCAGTTAAAAATGCCTGGAGGGATAAATTATAAACCTGAAATTTAAATTTATTGCTCAGGTTAAAAAATAATTACTCACGTAACTGAGAACTGAGTAATTATCTTCCATAGCAGATATTGATAAATTTGGTTCTTTTTCTGAGCTTGTTTTCAATAGAAAAATACCTTCTGAAATTGAACATGCATAGGCAACTACCAGAATCCAGTTCACCGTTCTTCTGGAGAAATTCAAGTATTTCTCGGTGCTCGGATAGAAATAAACGAAGAATCGTTGAATTGCCAATAAACCAATCAGAAATTGATTGACTTCTGATACACATGCAAATGGTAGCGCACTGAAGATAAGGAATAAATAAAACAAGGTCAAATAATCCAAGTAGTACAACAAATATTCAAAAGCCACAAAGCACCAAAACGCCATGGTCAATTTTTTATTGATTTCATGAAAATGGTCGATAATTTGAAAAACTGCAGTTTCCTGATCACGTGATTTATTCAATTTGTATACGTTTAAATAGATCGCAAAAATCGATAAAACTATTATACCAGACACAATGAAAAATATGAGATAATACTTAAATTCGTTTTCCAGATAAGGGTTGAAATGGCGCAATAAAGTCTCGCCGTTACTAGAATTCATTTTTGGGGGAAAAAAAGAATAGAATGAGATTATGGAGGCTCTAGGGTGTATGAAGACAGCTGAAAAAAAGGGACGAATCCTTCTTAGTACTTCATTTGGCATTTTTCAACTTCCATGAAGAAACCAGGATATTTTCAAAACCGAATACATTTTGACTAGGCTTTCCATGACGGGCGGGTAGCGAACGGGTAGCTGCTACCCGCCTGTTCCCGAACCCGCCCGCTACCCGCCCGCTTGCTACCCGGAACTTTTTGTGGCAGTAGTAACCACAATGATGAGTATCAAATTTTTGTATTTGAAATGTTGAAGTAATTATTTCGTTTGAAGTATTATGTTTAAGATATTTTATTATTTCTTGAGGTGGGTCCAAACCAAAAGAGTCAAAATAATAATATTCTCTTTTATTTACTTTATAACAGACCCAATGAGTACCTTTATTATCTGAACTATCAAGATTAATGATGCCTACTTCTACTTCTTTACGTTTTTCTGGTAAAGTATCCTTCATAAATACACCTCTGAAATCTTTGATT